ACTAGGGCCCAAAATTGTGGAAACACTTCCAATTTTTAGAGAGTGCAGAATTCAACTATTGCTCCAGTTACTTATTTAATCGTCCAATGTATGATATTTATAAAATTCTTTGATTGTTTTTGTATGCTACCGCCAATATTTGTGTAGTCATTTTTAAAGCTTAATGCCAAAATGCAAGGTGTTTCCGCAGTTTTGGCCACTAGGGTAGGTGCATTCAGAATATTCTGAAGCCAAGGCTAAAACACAAATGATGACAAATCCATCGATCCATACACCCAACCATCCTTATGTCCATCTTCCGTAACTGCTTCCCTAGGACAGGGTTTCAGAGGGACGTCCAAGACACGATACCAAAAATATCTTAATTATGATGACAGTGTTAAATGTTTCTTCTGAGTCGGCTTGTTTCAGTCGTCCACCCTGTCATAGGCTGTCTTGGATGTTCCTGCCTCTGCTCTTGTACACAATCTACTGGGATTAGGCTTGGGGTATGTCACAGGGCACAGACTGAGGGTCATCACACCATGCTTTGTCCAGGCACTGCCAAGACTTTGTTAGCTTCTGATGCTCCTCCTCCTCACTTCCTGTTTATACATCTACATTCCATAGCTTGGGCAGGACACCGGAAGCCATCAGTAGCTGGGCTGCTCATGCCAATGGAAGATCAGTTTCAGCTGAGCAATGTTTCTGTGTCTAATGGCCATCGTATCATGTTCAACTCAAACTCAATCTGAGCCACCCGTCCTCGCCACAATGGTCTTTGGCAAGTGCCATCAGAAGACACAAAAACGACATCACCGACAAGTGGAGATTTGGTTCAACATATTCCTTATTTCAGACTGCCACACACACCGGCAAGCTTATCAAAGTGACAGAAAGCACCGGAATGATTTTGTTTCAAAGAGATTATGTCATATATGCATCCGGGCGAGTCACGGCAGAGAAAATAGCGTGTGTGAAGCTTGTTATCAAAAGCATCACACAAGACTTCTCAATGCTGAGTATAATGTAGGCACTAAGATCTCAGAGTCCTACATTCATGTTCCCAAGTAAAGACTGGAGATACTCACTCATGCAGCTGTTGTTTATTCCTCTGCTAGCTTTCTTTATGATTGAAGATGTATTTAGTTTGTGTGGATTTAGCGCAATGCTATTCATAGAAGCAATATTTACTTGCTTTGAGCACAATAGAGGCTGTCTGGTCTTTAACAAATGACATCATCTCATAAAGCTCCAGGCTCCAGATCTTTCTTATTGCAGCTCATACTTATTTTAATGAAATACCTTCATTAGAGTTTTTTATTACGCACGCTGTTTACTGGCTAATTGTGCTCAATCCCAGAATACATTATGTTGCGTATGTGATTATGCTTGGACTGACCCGATCCTTTCGCTCTACTGGAACAGGTGTTTCGGGGAGGGGGGCAGGGTGCCAGAGATCAAAGCTCCGCTGTAATCTCCCAGGAATTTCCCAATGTCCTGTGCATGAATACCGGAACACCCTGGAATCTTAAGTGGATTTCTCCCATTTATCTGTTCCCTATTCAGGACGGAAGAAGTCATACTCCTTGTCTCACACCAAAAGCACCTCTATTGTGGGGGGGGGGGGGTGTTATTGTTTGGTATGGCCCCAATCACAGGCTTTAGCGAAAGCAGGCAGAGGGCAGCCAGCTGGGGACATTTAGCCCCCCCCCCCCCCTACCGGGGATGGGACACTCAGGTCCTCAGAGCTGAGGCCACTGACTGGCTTCTCTCTGGATCCCATCTGGACCACATCCTCCACCAGAGCTACGCCCTCCTAGCTGGGCGCCATGCAGGCATTTCCTTCTCTGCACTAGAGAATGGCTTGATCACTACCTTTGGCTGGCTTTCATTGGGGAAGCTCTGGAATGTTGGGGGAGTTCTGGAATGTTCTCCAAGGATCCCATGGACAGTCACTCAGTCTTTATTTTGGGTTGTAAACCACTTCTGAATCATTTCCTTCTCACCCTGTACTGCATGAGAAAAGCATCCATAAAAGTACATACTTCTCTCTCATATTGTCTTTCCTTACCCACCAAAAAACAAATCCTCAAAAATGAGTCAGAGGAACATTAGCAGGGATTCTAGTTTGTCTTTTGCTCCAAATGAGTCATAACCAAATCACATAACAGCTCACAGGTCATGGCAGCTGTCACATTACTAACTAAATGGTAAAATTTTGTCACAGTCACATTATTCATGCTTTCTAAAAGGTTGTCATTGGTTGATTCAAAAACTGTGACATGTGACAGTGTTTTGAATACATAAAAAGGTGTATTTATAATGTCTTACCAAAAAAATGGCATCACAGAAATGCTGGCTTATTCAGGGATAGCTGGTTTGGATTTGTAAATGAAGGCAGCACAAATATTTCTTACTTTGTAAGATCACATGTTGCCAATGGTACATATGTAATGATTATGTATTCCATACATAAATGCAACTTCCAAAGGCTCGTCCAGTACAGGGTCATAGAGAGCCAGGAACCTGTCCTAGGGAGCACAGGGCACAAGGAGGGGGACGCCCTGGATGAGGTGCCAGTCCATGACAGGGCACAAGGAGGGAGATGCCCTGGATGAGGTGCCAGTCCATGACAGGGCACAAGGAGGGAGACGCCCTGGATGAGGTGCCAGTCTATGACAGGGCACAAGGAGGGAGACGCCCTGGATGAGGTGCCAGTCTATGACAGGGCACAAGGAGGGAGACGCCCTGGATGAGGTGCCAGTCTATCACAGGGCACAAAGAGGGAGACCCCCTGGATGAGGTGCCAGTCTATGACAGGGCACAAGGAGGGAGACCCCCTGGATGAGGTGCCAGTCTATGACAGGGCA